ATACAGACAATAGAATGTTGGTTACCAGAGGGCAGGGGGGTTGGAGGAGGATGAAAAAAGTAAACAGGTTTAAAATCAAGGTAAGCAAAGGAGACTAGACTTTGAGTGGTGAGCACTCAATAGAGTATACAGATGTTGTATAATAAAGTTGTACACCTAGCCCTGGCTGGCGTAGCTCAGTGGATTGAGCACGGGCTGCGAACCAAAGTGTCGCAGGTTTGATTCCCAGTCAGGGCACATGCCTGGGTTGCAGGCCATGACCCCCAGCAACTGCACATTGATGTTTCTGTCTCTCTATCTCCCTCCCTTCTCTCTCTAAAAAAATAAATAAATAAATAAAATCTTAAAAAAAAGAGAGATTTACTTTAAAATTAAAAAAAAAAGTTGTACACCTAAAATTTATACAATGTTATGAACCAGTGCTACAACAATAAATGTTATTTAAAAAATAAAGCAGTTGCACAGTGAAAGAAACCACCAATAAGATGAAAACACAACCTACTGAATGGGAGAAGATATTTGCAAATGATATATCCAATAGGAGTGTTAATATACAATTCAATACCCAAATCAAACAATCTGATTAGATAACAGGCAGATGACCTGATTAGACATTTCTCCAAAGACATACAGATGGTCAAAAAACACATGAAAAGATGCTCAACATCACTAATGATCAGGGAAATGCAACTCAAAACCACAGTGAGATATCACCTCACACCTTTCAAAATGGGTATTACGAAAAAGACAACAAATAACAATGCAGGTGAGGATGGAGAGAAAAGGAAACCCTTGTGCACCGTTGCTCTGATAATAAATTGGTGCACCCACTATGGAAATCCATAGAGATTCCTCAACAAATGAACAGAGGAACTATAGTAAAACCCAGCAATCCCACTTTTCACTATTTATCTGAAAAAAAATGAAGACAATAATATATACAGATATATGCACCCCTATGTTCATTGCAGCATTGTTTACAATAGCAATAAATGGAATCAACATAGGTGTCCATCAAGAGACAACCGGATAAAGAAGATGTGGTATGTTTATACAGTGGAATACTACTCAGCCATAAAAAGAATAAAATCTGGCTATTTGCAACAACATGGATGAACCCAAAGAGTGTTAAGTTGTATGTCAACTATGGTTAAAAATAAAATTTAAAAACCAAAACCCCAAAACCCCAAAAACCCAAACCACATCAAAGTTGGATAGAGATTAGGAAGGAGAGAAAACTAAAAGCTCATTTACAGCCAAAAAACCAGATGATACACTTAATATTGTGGCAAGAGAGGAGATAGGGTTATTAGTGGAGATGCCCACTAAAATGCTAATTTTCTGAGGTAGAAAATAAGAAATTGGTGCTTCTGTTTACAACTCACTACTATACGTTCTTTTTTTTCCTCAGGTTTGGCCAGAGCCAGACTTTGCTGACAGATTACATCACGTACATGGACGAGCTGGGCTCCTTCATAGGGGCCAAGCCTAACATACCGTGGCTCTTCCTGACAGACCCCCAGCTGGCCCTGCAGGTGTACTTCGGGCCTTGTAGCCCCTATCAGTTCCGACTTATGGGACCAGGGAGGTGGGAGGGGGCCAGGAAGGCCATCTTGACCCAATGGGACCGGACAGTGAAGCCAATCAGGACGAGAGCTGTCAGTGAAGCTCACAGACCCCAACCTTTTTACGACTTGCTTAAAATGCTTTTATTCCCACTGCTTCTTCTGTCTGTTCTCCTTATATTTTGTTCATAAGAAAGTCCTTCAGATCTCAGAGTTCAGCCTACAAGTTTAAGTATCCATATGCCTATTCATGTACACGTATAAAATCTCATAGCTGCTCCTTCCCTTCCTGCAGAGGCAAAAATGAATTCTGGCCCATTTGACTTCAAGTCCAAATAAAATGAAAACTACTCAGAATCTCCTTCCTCATGAGAATCTATACTCTCAAAGGCTTTCCACATGCTGAATTGGCAAGTTTGGAGATGCTGTAGACAAAGGAGATGGGAGAGTGAACGGCAGTGAGCAGTCAGCTTTGCAGGCTGCGCAAAGTTTAACAAACATGTCAAAGGCTGTTTTGTCATGGGGACCACTGACATCACACCCATGTTGAGTCTCCCAGCTTATGACCCACTATACCTTTCCATTTATTTAGATCTTCTTTAATTTCTCTCAGCTGTGTTTTATAGATTTTAGTGTACAAGTCTTTCCCATTCTATTTCAGGTTTACCCTAAGTATTTCGCCTGTGGGATGTTATTATAAAGAGTAGTTTAATTTTTGTAGTTTCCTACTGCTTATTATATTAACTATATTAACATATAGAAATACAATAATTTGCTCTATGTAGACAGTCATGTTGTCTGAAAATAAAGATAGCTTTTTTCCCTCCCATTCCAATTTGGGTGTCATTTATTTCTTTTTCTGGTCTTATTCCACTGGTAGAAACTGCAGTATAATGTTGAAAAGAAGTGGTGAGAACAGACATCCTTGCCTTGTTCCTGATCTCAGAAATAAAGCATTCAGTCATTAAGTAATGTTATCTGTAGATTATCTCATAAATGACCTTTAAGTTGACAAAGTGTCCTTTAATTTCTAGTTTGCTGACAGATGTTGGCTTTTGATGCTTTTTTTCCTGCATCATTGAGATGATTATATGATTTTTAATTTTTAGTTTATAAATATGGTGAATTCCACTGCCTAGAAATCCAACCTTGCATTCCTGAAATCCACCTTACGTGGTCATGATATATTATCCATTTTATATACTGTAGGATTATAGTCATTTACATTTGCCATGGACTTTTGCATGAATGTTTATGAGGGAAAATGATCTGTATTGTATTTTCTGATAATGTTTTTGTCTGGTTTTGGTATCCATGTAATGATAGTCTCATAAAATGAGTTGTAAGTATTCTATTCTCTTTAATTTTGTGGAATAGTTGTGTGTACTTGGCATAATAGCTTTATTAAATGTTTGGTAGAATTTACCAGTGAAGCCATCTTGGCCTGAAAGCCTTCACAGGAAAAATTTTAAACTATGATTTCCAGTTCTTTAATAGACGTAAGATGACTCAGGTTATATGTTTCTTCTTGGGAAAACTTTGGCAGTCTGTGTCTTTCCAGGAATTTGTTCTTTTATGTAAAGTAATTTGATGGAGATAGGACAGTTTTTTCACCCTATGGCACTGGGACAGCTGGATATTCATATGATATGAAAAAATAATGGTCTAGAAACTTAGAGAGACATGTGGGGAAAACCAGAAAAATGCTACTTTGAGTAGCCTGTACTTCAGAAAGGTGTTTCAGGATACGAGAGTCTCCGTCTGGGCCTAGCCGCAACAGGGGCGTGGGGTTTTCCCCAACCAAGGCTCTGGTGGAAGTGTGGCTAGGTGCAGTGAGACCCTTCAGACCCAGAGCACTTGAGCCAACTAGAAATTTCTTTGGCAAACTGACCCTGTTGATATCTTATGCAGGCAAATGGACGATATTCACTTTCATCAAACTGAATTTGATAGAATGTTACTTCAAAGTTGTGTACTTGGTCCTGTATAGTAAACAGACTGTACGTATGCCCCTTTCCCTCATCTTCACCAATTATGTAAAATAAGACGAGAACAAAAGAACACTGAGGACTGACAAGAGGCTTCTTAAAGGGCCCTTCCTTCTCTGTTGTGGCTGGGCCCTTAGCTGGACCCCTCCGAAACCCTTGTTTGCGTGTATGGGGCTGTGTATAGCGTGCGGACGTGTGGGTGTGTTTGGGACTGAATCCAGGTCACCGGCGGCCAGCACAAGGCCCACGGGCCGAACCCAGCCCTCCACCTGCTTTAATCCAGCCCCGCACCTTGTTCCTACCCAGCGACAGCGCTGAGCTCCTTGCCCCTAGCTAGGGAGTAGTTACATCCACATAATCCTAAAGTTACATTCAGCCCTTTGAAGGCAACTTCCAGGCTGATGTGGCCTCCCAGTTAAAGTGAGTTTGACGCCCCTGATCCAGGGTAAGGACTATAGCAGGCAAACTCATTAACAAATTGAATATATAACGCGTTTTTGACCAGGTCATTACCAATGATAATCCCTGTTTTTAAATCAGATTGGTCAAAAGGCTAACAGTTAAGAAACTGTTCTGTTTCAACTTATCAGAACCAAAAGAAACTATTATTTTTTTTAATTTCTAAAGTACAGTTGGAATATGATATTATATCAATTTAAGGTGTACAACATAGTAATTCAACATTTATATACCTTATGATATGATCAAAACAGTAAGTATAGTAACCATCTGTCACCATGCAAAGTTACTATAATATTATTGACTATATAACTTCTTCTGTATACTACATCCTGTGACATTTATTTTATGACTGAAACTTTGTACCTTATTCTCCTTCATATTTTTTACCAACACCCCCTACCCCCTCCCCTCTGGCAACTATCAGTTTATTCTCTGGATCTATGAGCCTGTATCTGTTTTGTTTTGTTTGTCCATTAGCTTTGTTTTTTTATCCACATATCAGTGAAATCATATACTTACCATAATACCCTCTTGGCCCATCCATGTTTCAAATGGAAAGATGTCATTCCTGATAATGAAATATCTTTTTTATTGCTGAGTGATATTCCTGTGTGTGTATGTATGTATGTATGTGTGTGTGTGCGTCACATCTTCTGTGTCCATTTATCTAATGATGGACACTTGGGTTGCCTCCACATCTTGGCTATTGTAAATAATGCTGCAATAAATACAGGAATGCATATATCTTTTTGAACTAGTGTTTGACTTTTCTTCAGATACATACCCAGAAGTGGAATTGATGCGCCATATGGTAGTTCTATTTTTAGTTTTTTGAGGAACCTTCCTACTGTTTTCCATAGTAGCTATACCAATTTGTAATCTTACCTACAATGCAAAGGGGTTTCCCTTGTCTTAACATCTGTGCCAGTGCTCGCAACTCTTTGCTGTGTTGATGGTAGCCAATATGACAGGTGAGAGGTGATATTTCACTGTGGTTCTGCTTTAAATTTCTGAGGATCAGTGATATCTTTTCATGTGTCTGTTGACCAGTGCACACGTAACATGGTTACTGTAAAGACACTGTACCACTACCCCAGACCTCCAAATACAGGCTCCTAGCTTGATTTCATAACTACCATAGTCTTTGGAGCTTCAGGTGCCAGAATGCTGGAGTGAGAAGCTCCGCCCTTTACTCACTGCCTCCTCCAGCACTTAAAACCCTCTGACTGCCTCCAAGCACACAACCCACAAAGCACACTGCTGTGGCAGACAGACTGCGCCAAAAGGCCTCAACAAAGGTAAGGAAGAGGCTGACGAGGAAACGGTCAGCTCTAAACTCTGAAACTCTAAACTCGGGTAAGTAACCGGGGATTTGGCTCATCTCCTTAGAACTACATCATTGGTCACTTGGCTTTGCTAAATGGGTTGCATTTTAACTGTTAAACCAAGATTTTGTCAACAAGACTTGCAGTAAAGCCCATGACACTTTGGAAGTTGACTACTAAGGTATTTTATTCCATTCCAGCTGGTTATTAAATTGCCACTGCCCTTTAGAGCCCAATACTCAGGCACACCATACCATCTTCCTTTCCTTTTGCCCCACTGCAGCAGCACTGATTGATCAACTCTGTGACTGGGGACCATGGCAAAGACAGTGGCAGTGATTGGAGCCGGGGTCAGTGGCCTGACCTCTCTGAAGTGCTGTGTGGACGAGGGACTCCTGCCCACTTGCTTTGAGAGGACTGATGACATCGGAGGAGTGTGGAGGTTCAAAGTATGTGAACTCTTCTCATTTTGTGCACAGGTTGTGCTGCTCTTGGAGGGTGAATCGCAGTACAGCAGGGCTTGACTAGGGGCTCCCTGAGCCAGTCCGATCACATCTACTCCATGCAGCCAGGAGGGGCCAAGCACTCGACTGGGGCATGTCTCCCAGTCGTCCTGTTCTAACCCAGACGGTAAAGCTGGGAACATCCAGAAGCCCTCCTTAGGGCTCTGTCTTGCAGCCCCTTATTTTTGTCATTCTCAAAGCAATATACCAATATTAGAGAGTATTTTTATAATGTTTAATTTTATTCTTTTAAATATATTTTATTGGTTATGCTATTAGTTGTCCCATTTTCCCCCCTTCACTCCCCTCCACCCTGCACACCCTCTCCTACCCACATTTCCCCCCCATTTAGTTCATGTCCATGGGTCATACTTTTAACTTCTTTAGCTTCTACATTTCCCACACTATTCTTACCCACCCCCTGTCTATTTTCTACCTACCATCTATGCTACTTCTTCTCTGTACCTTTTCCCCCTCTCTCCTCCTCCCACTCCCTTGTTGATAACCCTCCATGTGATCTCCATTTCTGTGGTTCTGTTCCTGTTCTAGTTGTTTGCTCAGAATTTTTTTTGTTTTTGTTTTTGTTTTGGGTGCAGTTGTTAATAATTGTGAGTTTGCTGTCATTTTACTGTACATTTTTTTATATTCTTTTTCTTAGATAAGTCCCTTTAACATTTCATATAATAGGGGCTTGGTGATGATGAACTCCTTTAACTTGACCTTATCTGAGAAGTACTTTATCTGCCCTTCCATGCTAAATGAAAGCTTTGCTGGATAGAGCAATCTGGGATGGAGGTCCTTGCCTTTCATGACTTGGAATACTTCTTTCCAGTCCCTCCTTGCCTGCCAGGTCTCTTTTGAGAAATCATCTGACAGTCTGATGGGAACTGTCTCCTTATCTCTTGCTGCTTCTAGGATTCTCTCCTTCATTTTAATCTTGGCTAATGTAATTATGATGTGCCTTGGTGTGTTCCTCCTTGGGTCCAACTTCTTTGGGACTCTCTGAGCTTCCTGGAAGTCTATTTCCTTTGCCAGAATGGGAAAGTTCTCCTTTATTATTTGTTCAAATAACTTTTCCACTTGTTGCTCTTCCTCTTCTCCTTCTGGCATCCCTATAATTTGGATGTTGGAACATTTAAAGATGTCCTGGAGGTTCCTAAGCCTCTCCTCATTTTCTGAATTCTTGTTTCTTCATTCTTTTCTGTTTGATTGTTTCTTTCTTCCTTCTGGTCCATTCCATTGATGTGAGTCCCAGTTTCCTTCCCATCGCTATTGGTTCCCTGTACATTTTCCTTTATTTCACTTAGCATAGCCTTCATTTTTTCATCTAATTTGCAACCAAATTCAACCAATTCTGTGAGCATCCTGATCATCAGTGCTTTGAACTGTGCATCTGATAAGTTGGCTATCTCTTTGTCACTTAGTTGTATTTTTTTCTGGAGTTTTAATCTGTTCTTTTGTTTGGGCCATTTTTTTTTGTCTTTACACAGCTGTTACACATGAGGGGCGGAGCCTTAGGTGTTCCCCAGGGTGGGGCAATCCAGTTGCTGGTTTGTGATGCTATATGTGGGGCAGAGGTCCAAGAGGGAACAATGGCACTTGCTCCGCTCTCTGCCAGATTTCAGTCACTTCTCCTGCTTCCCCTAAGCAAACTGGGCCCTTCTGGTGCTGGTTCCTGGGTGGATGGGCTTGTGTATGTTCTAGGACCCTGTGGGTCTCTCCAATGAACTCTCCTGTGAGGCTGGGAATCTCTCCCGGTACCTCAACCCCCACAGGTGTTTTCAATTGGTGTCTTGAGGCTTTATTTCCCCATGCTGGGGCCCTGGGTTATGTGATCTGCCTCACTCCCCAGTTTCGCCTGGTTTATCTAGGTGCAAATGTGGGACCGCCCTGTTCCACCAGCCACCTGCGCACCAAGCCCCTCCACAATCTGCCACCTTGCTGGGTCCACCAGCCGCCACCCCGTGTGCCCGGGGTCCACCAGCTGCTGCTTTGCATGCCTGGAATCCGCCAGCCACCGATTTTTTATTTTGCTATGACCTTTCTCCACCTGGCCTCCCAACTCTGCCCCTCCTACCAGTCTGGATGAATGTGTCTACTTTAACTCGTTGGTTGTCGGACTTCCATAGAGTTCAATTTTTTGTCAGTACTAGTTGTTATTTTGTTTCTCAATTGTTGTTCTATCTTGGTTGTGTGAGGAGGCACAGTGTGTCTACCTACACCCTCATCTTGGCCAGAAGTCAGAATTTTCTATATTTTATCTGGTATTGAAATTATTAATAAGCCCCATTTTACAGGGGGGAATGATTTATGTAGCTTGGTCATGGTTAAAAAAAGCCATTAGAAGTCACAGAATTAGGGGGTCAACCCCCTGTAACTCCAGAGCCCTCATCTTTGACTCTGTTCTGCACTTCCTACAAAATCATCAGGTCCTGAGGAAAAAGTAGGGTGGGGTGTTTTGTTTTGTTGTGTTGTGTTGTGTTATGCTTTATGAAATATTTCTGACTCTGAGAACGTGGCTGGATGAGAAACTCAGACATTCAGCCTTGCCGAGAATACTGGACCCAATCACACAGAGCCATCCCGAAAGAGTTTACACCATCCATTTGACTCTAGGATTACGTAATTTGAAGCAAATGTTTGAAAAAAGAAGTACCACGATTTATTATTTGTCCAGAGTTCAGATCAGTGTACCTTTGTATATGACACAGAAACCACTTCATGTTTTAATACAAACTCTCTTCGCATCCTAATATTTAACATACAGTAACACCACCACCACACCAAACTCTAATCACCTAGAAAGATGGCATACCCTAATCTGACTAGTTTTTACCAAACCACTTGAAACTGCAACAAGGTTATCATCTGAGCCTTGATTCTGGAACTGAATATATTTTAGAAGATCAAACATTTTGGCAAAAATAACCTAGGAAATATAAACACATTGCTCATGAAAAAAGGCATCTGACCGCTGGCCTGAGTCGGCGTGAGAGGGTGGGTGGGTGGATAAACAGGTGGGTTGATGGGAAGACGGAGGGAGAAGGAGGGTGTGAGGGGAGGGAGGAGGGTCTTTACAGGCTTAGACTGACACTCAGCAAGACTCTACATATCGTTCCTAAGTGACATGACCTGAGAGCAAATACTGTTTTAGCTTTGGTGACTCGTGTGGATACTAATAATCTCTGTGAAACACAATACATATAAAGGACATTCCATGCATAAAAGAGGCAAGGTCCCACAGTTTACTCTTTGAAATTGAGAAACAGAATAAAGGAATAAAGTGGAGCCACTACAGCCAAGCTGCTAAATCACCATGGTCGAGTCAGTCGAGGAATGAGGAAATGATTCTACTTTACTTGGACTGGCCTGGGAACTTGAACTTTTGAACTTTCCAGTCCTGCATGAATGCCTGCATATGGATTAAACCTCCAGACGATCCTAAAGGACTAAGGAAAGAATGGCCAGTTGGCACCCAGTAGCTCAGGTGGATAAAGCATCATCCTGTAACCAAAAGGTTGCAGATTCAATTCCTGGTCAGGGCATATACCCAGGTTGCAGGTTTGATCCCTAGCTGGGGTGTATATGGGAGGCAACTGATTTCTTGTTTCTTTCTCACATCACTGTTTCTCTCTCCCTCTCCGCCTCAAATCGCTAAATATGTCCTTGGGTGAGGATTTAAAAAGAAAGAGAAATTGAATACGACTTCTTATACAGAAAATGCCAGAAAACTCAGGTGTGACAGTGAGTGTGGCTGTGTCAGTCCTGGGGTGTCCGAGCAGCTCCCCCAGCACCTTTCCTACACCGCAGTGGGCAGTGAACTGTAACTCAGGCTCACAGCTTCCTCGGTGACAACAGACACCACCACTGGGCAGCTGGCACACCCCTCTTCTACAGCTGAAGGGGCTCATCTGGTCCAGGCTCACACAGCCTGAAAGCGGCAGATGTAAGCCTGTGTCTAACCGCCAAGACCAGGCTCCTTCTGCTAGTCTGGGCAGCCTCTCTCAGTGCCACCAAAAATCTAAGGAGCCTTGATCTAAAGATTGGCAGGAAAGTAATGACTTTTCTATGAATGAGGATGAGAAAGGAACACGCACAATTGATTTATTGTGGTCATGCAATTACAGTTGAATATTTATTTTCCTTTATTTACTATTCTGTGGAAGAGACTATAGTGTCATTTATATAAAGTCATTTATTTAAATTAATTAACTTTACATTTCTTTATACCTCACCCTAATGCTGAGTCATAATAGCAATTACTATGTGCCTAGATTTGCCTTAGTCTCTGCTTAGGCTTAAGTATCTATTAAGGACTTCTTGGTTGGCATAATTTAAATTTTCTTATAAAAGCCCCTTTGATAACATGCTAATTTCAGGGACATTGAATCACTCATCCTTGGTTCTCACCATGATTTAACACAAAAGACATTACCGTTAGGCAGAGCACTTCTTGTAGAGGAAATTATAAACTCAACTATAGTGTGTGCTGCTTCTGTTTCCACTAAAGCATACTTGGTAACATCTAAAGTCAAGTTTAAGGTTCAACAGGTGTCGGTGCCATTCACCTTTATTGCTTAAGGAAGGTTGATTGCCAAGAAGCATAGAGCGAAGGGAGAGGATTCCAACAAAGTTGTGAAAACTCCCTGGCCCCCAAAGGACTCATTTTAATTGAAATTCACCATTATGCTCTCTAACCAGTGTCAAAGGGTTTATTAAAGGAGTGGAAGTGGGTACAGCCTCCCCAGGGGGAATTCCAGAAGGGGCTGGTTGTAGCAATGACCGACATTAAGAAAGTAGAGACCTGTGGTACTAAACATGGCCAAAGGAGGGTGGGTCCCACTCCCCAGCCCCTCTATGGTAACAGCCCCTCTGGGGGCCACCCTACAAGGCCCCACGTAGGCCCTGCCACATGGGGTGACAATCGTGTACACTGTGCCAGAGGGGACCACTTCACCCAGGGGTTAGATTTAGAAGAAGAGTAGAGGCCAAGGGATTTGTTTAATGCATGATTATCACTTTTATTTGATCTTTTAGGAAAATGTGGAAGATGGGCAAGCGAGTATCTATCAATCTGTCATCACCAGCACGAGCAAAGAAATGTCCTGTTTCAGTGACTTTCCAATGCCTGAAGATTTTCCAAACTTTCTGCCCAATTCGAAGCTCCTGGAGTATTTCAGGATCTTTGCTAAGAAGTTTGATCTTCTAAAATACATTCAGTTCCAGGTATTACATTCTGGGGGGAATAGTGTTCTCTGCATTAGAACAGATCACATTTAAATAAGAAGTTCCTCTGATAATGAAAGAAATTGTGAATAAAAGAAAGTTTTCCAATCCAATCTGTTGTCAAAAGATAAGGGCATGATAGAAAACCCAAAGAGAATGTCATTGCACTGACATTATAAATTGTATACCTTGACAGAAGAGAAAAATCACCTGTTAAAAGTAAAGGTGTAAATGGTGATATTATGGTGAAACTGCCTTTAAACTCATATTTATAACCACTGAAGAGTCCTAACCTCACTTCCCTTAAAAAACCCATATGTAAACTATCAAACTTCTATTTCATTTTTTTAAATAAACATGAGTCAACAATTTTATTTGACTCATTATTAGTGAGGGGCCAGTTTCTTACTTTCTATGAAGTTCTAGAAGTTCTATGAAGTTCTGAAGTTTCTAGAAGTTCTATGTAAATAGAACTTCTTAGAAAAACATGCTAAAGAAACTCACAGTTCTCCATTCATCTAAGATGCCCATGGAAATTGCGTTTGCTAATTATTTTTTTTCTGGTTGCAATCTCTTGAAAGGTAAAGATGTTCAGATCACTTTGAAATATAACTATCATTCCTGTGTTTCCTCAAAAACTAATCATCAGCAACAAAAAAAACTCACTTAACATGCTGAATTTGTATCAATAGCCTACACTCTATGAACTAGTAACTGTGCTTAGGAAATCTAAATTATACCTCTGAATAAATAACCCTTAGTGGAGTCTACTTTTCTAACACATATCAGTGTCTTAGTAATTTTAGTTCTGTCCCAGGTTTATACTATATTAATTTATAACAGCTGATTTTGGTGGCAATCTGTATTTGTTAAGTACCATTACAATGCCCAGTTCCACCTGATGTAGTTTTTCCCAAATCCCTGGTAGGTCCATCCTATAAATGACAGATTCTTTATACCAGAAGCTTTTATAGGTCTTTGTCACTTAGTTATCACTATATTTAACAGATATATTACCCTCTTACAATATGTAATTCATATTCTCTATTCTTTTAAAGATCATGTGAGAGTTGCAAGAGAACTACTTCTGTTGTTTACTATTTTACTGCTATAGTTGTTTCCTGGAGGGGTTAGGAAAACACACTTCTGTTTATTGGTCTCTGAGTTGGTATAAGCCGTAAGATGTTAGGGCTAACTCAAAATGTAAACAACTCTGTTGCATTTCTAATAACCTCCTGAGTAATAACTGAAAGTGTTGGTCCTCAAACAACATTTTTCTATTTTTTAAAGATTCTATTTATTCATTTTTAGAGAGAGGGGAAGAGAAGGAGAAAGAGGGGGAGAGATATATCAATGTCTGATTGCCTCTCAAGCACCCTGTACTGGGGACCTGGCCTGCAACCCGGGCATGTGCCCTGACTAGGAATTGAACTGGCGACCCTTTGGTTTGCAGCCCACATTCAATCTACTGAGCTACACTAGCCAGGTCCTCAAACCACATTTTGAAAAGCAAGAATCCGCAGTACTTTAGCTCACATACCACTGTGGACTACAAATCAGAAATCTTTCCTCTCAGCTGAAAATGGCCAGACGTGTTACAGTACTTTCATAAGCTTTATACTAACATTCCTTTTACAATTTTAAAGTTCAACAGCCTCAAACTTTACCAGTGCAGCATTCTGAAAAATATCTGAAACTTTGAAAAGTAGGCCTCAGAGACCAAAAACACTTGCAAACAAGAGACGTATGTCATTCCTCTAAACATGAGGAAAGCTTTCTTCCATTTGGCATTGTTCCTTAAATGCAACACACCTATGACCTCCATGTACACTTTTGAAACTCACAGACCTCCAGACAGTGAGCTACATTTAAAAACAAATCAATGAAAAAATCAATTATTTCACCCAAATGAGATCATGACCAGCACTGCCATCATGAAGTACCCTGATTTTAAAATACGAAACAGGAACCAGCACCATTGGGAGTGTGACAATATGCCAGGCACTATGCAAACTGCTTCCCAAACATCCTCTCTAATACATTGTCTGCACGGGGGGGATTCATCAAGGGTCCTTGACAAACACTGATTGTGTCATCGCTTGAATAATAAACGTGTGTTTATTATTATTACACCTTACCCAGAGCTTACCTTCCACTCGAGTCTTGCTCCAGTTCTTAGTCTGCTGAGCGGGTCTTTCGCACAAAGCAGCACATCCTTGGCAGGCAGCTCCCTGCCAAAAAAGAATGAGAAGGCCATGCTCAGCAGTCTGTGCCTTAACTGGCTTGAAATGGAGTCAGACAAAACCTAAAGAGCATCACACATTGCACTCTACCCACGCCCACACTCCCAGCCACTGCACAAGGCCCCTCTCGTGCCAGATTCATTCTCAATGACACCTTCTCCACATTTGTTTAAGACAACCGTCCTCAGGGTGAAAAAACGCCCAGATTTCTCATCCTCTGGTCAATGGGAGGTCGTGACCAAGAGCAAAGGCAAGGAGCACAGCGCTGTCTTCGACGCAGTGATGGTTTGCAATGGCCACCACATCTTCCCTCACATGCCGCTGGAGTCATTTCCAGGTGAGGCCCTGGGGTTCCCAGCTTTTCAGAGCAGCTGTCTAGGTACTTTACATGCAGTCTGGATTGACAGGCAGGATTAACTGTTACAATCAGGCACAGTACTAAGACAGGGAAAGGCCTAGAAAGACTCTGAACACCATCTTTGTTTCCGTTGACCTCTTTTGGTCTTTGTTACACAAGGAGTCCAACTAACCTCCTCCAAAGCCAGGATTTTAGAGAATTCTTACCCACACTGGTTCCCTGCTAGAGAGGCCCTTTTAGCCATGTGTCCACCTTGGCCATCTTTTTATCCTGCCAAACACCTGTGACTTTGTTCTGTCCTTGTAAGCCCTTTCCGCAGAACCATGCCCACGGACAGAGTTGGTGGGGAAGGTTCCTGGAAACTCTTCTGGTCCTGGACCATATGCTTAACGTAACTCTTCTCATATGGGTTACACTTTGAGTTTGTCAATTAGCCTCCCTATTGGAACTCACCTAAGAGGAGAAGAGGCAAAACAAATGATTGACCCCAGGAAGGAAAAGCTGACAATGCAGGTTTGTTGAAATTAATTTGACATAGTTAACAGGCTTCTCTTTTTTTCCTCCTGAAGGTATTGAGAGGTTCAAAGGCCAGTACTTTCATAGCCGCCAATACAAGCAACCCGAGGGATTTGAGGGGAAGAACATCCTGGTGATTGGACTGGGAAACTCGGCCACAGACATTGCCGTGGAGCTGAGCAAGACGGCTGCTCAGGTGCAGTGCCTTCTGCTTACCTTGTACCACGGAGGAGAGGAAAGGGGTGGGGCACACTGGAGAATCTGAGCTGTACACTCATGGCTCCATTACTCATTAATTGGTTGATTGGTTACTTGCTTGCTTGCTTGCTTGGGTACTCAGTTGCTCCATAAAGTACCATAGAAAATTCCTGGTGTCAAGAAGCCAGAGTTTACCTCCCAGCTCTGTCTCTGTCAGCTGTGTAGCCTAGACTGTCCCATTTTACTTCTCTGGGATACGGTTCTTTGAATCTGAAAATGGGAAGTTTGGACCAGATGACATCTAGCCTAAGAGGCCTTATTTCCACCCACGGGCCTTAGTAAGAAGTTGACCCATTCATGTATTATATAAAGGTAGGAGGGTCCATTTAGAAATTTAGTGCACATTTTAGTTATATTTGAAACATACATAGCCCTCAATTATCCAGGGATCATGACAAGAAAGAGTAAATAGACAGTAAGACTCCCAACCAAGACCATAGGCATTTAGGTGCACACTGAGGCCGTCCAACCACTGTCATCTCTGCACCTGCTCAAGAATGACACAATGAGCTGTCGAGGCATCGAGCCTCACAACAGTTGATAATGTTGACAGCGATGGTTAGGAATAGCAGAAACTAAACCCCTTTTGGCAGGACACACCAAGGCGAAGATGGGAAATAGCTAGGGTTCCTTTATCCCCGAAGCATTCCCTCCCAACAGGGCCTGGACCTAGAAGCCCTATCGCTTGTACACTAGCCTCCTCTGCCTGGCTCCTTCTGGCCACACAGGACTTGCTGGGCCCACGTCCACAACCAGAAAAACCATCCTGTCCTGAGTCTCATACTTGGAGGGCTCGAGATACCAGCTAGCACGCGTGATAAACAAAAATGGTGTGCCCTCGGCAGGTTAATGAAGGGCTTACACTGGAACCTGTCAAAGTCACCTATTGGTCAGTGCCAAGGAAGCAAGGGAGACACTCATGGAAATATTTAAGTATAATCTCTAATATGTAATCAAAGTATTATCAAGTCAACATAAGGGCAGTCACAGGAAAATATTGGGATACAAATATGTTACCATACGCAGATCAACAATTTAACACTGGTGAGTATAGTTCCTACTTCACAAGCTGAGGAGTTGATGCCCTTCCCAGCAAAATCTGTCACCAAATTCTGGTTTATGCCTAATGTCTGGCATTCTATGAAACTCCTCCTCCTCCACCCTAAATTTACAAAGTAATGATAACTAACAGGCAATAGTTTAAGTACTTTATTTATATCACTTAACCTACACAGTAATACCATGAGGCAGGTACTATTGTTGCCCCCATTTTGCAGAAAGAGAAACTGAGGCACGGGGAAGTTGAAATAACTTGCCCAAGGTAACATAGCCAGTACGTGGTGTGGCTGGGATTCAAACCTAGGGAACAAGTTCTGGTGTCTTCAGAGTAAGCAAGGTAAAGAACACACTAGAAAGAAGACTCAGATGTGCATTTGAAGAGAATGGGAATCACAGTATAACTTTGGAATTTTAACGCTTACAATACATAATAAATTTCTTTTAAGTGTGAGAGGAAGTTGACTCCCCTGGTTAGTCCCACTCTAGGGAAATACAGACCCACATGTGTACGCCTGTATAGTCCTTGGGTTGTCACTGCACATTTCCTAGGATTATAATTATTTGCCTTCAGTATAAAAGAAACTTGGGCAGGTGAAAAGGTGAGAGGAGGGAAAAAGCACCAAACTGCAACTGTAAACATGGTACATTTTATGATTGGTGTGAGCCCAAAGATTTTCTCATGCTTTCATGAAAGTTCCTAAGACTGTTGTAGTCTTGCTCTATCTGTGTAAATACCACTGATATTTTGCAAAATTGCTGCAGTGAAAACTGGAACCTACTTCACTTGGAGGTCAAACATCTTTAAGATGAAGTGATGCAGGAATTTCTGGGGCCAGACATGTGATATATCACCTATTTGGGGGTTCCTCCCAAAAGGGACAGTGCCCTCATGTACCTTCTTTTTTGCTTTACCAGGTGTTCATCAGCACCAGGCAAGGTTCCTGGGTCACAAGCCGTATGCATGACCATGGCTATCCCTGGGACATGGTCCACCATACCCGGTTCAGCTCCATGCTCCGAAATGTCCTGCCGAGAACAGTTCTAAAGTGGATGTCAGAACGACAGATGAATCAGTGGTTTGACCATGAAAATTATGGCCTTGAGCCTCAAAACAAGTAAAGTTATTTTGCTTTTCTTATGGGATACTCATTGGCAAGTATGGTCATCAGAGGTGCCTCTCTTCACAAAGGGCCAAATTGCTAATGGGCTAGTTCAAGCTGCAGCCTAACAGTGTGGGTATTACAAGTGCTGCAGTTGGAAACACAAATGTGTTCTGTATGTCTTCTAAAAAGGTAAATACTTAAGAAGATCAAGTAGTAATGGGATGAGCTACTCCAAGAACAAGGTCATGGAAAGAATGTCCTAATCCTGAGAGCTGTCTACCACTGGAAGGACTGCTTTAGGGGACTGTGACCTTCCTTTCAGAGGACTGTGGTGGAAGCGTGTGTCTAGTTCTCCCTCTGATGACTCCTGCTTCACTGACTCTGTATAGCATGAGGGCTCTTCACATGGGCAGCTTTTGAGAACACACTCACTGTCTCCTTGCCAAAAAAAAAATCTCTGTTCATCTCCAAGTCATACATCACTGACCTTATAAACACAGGCAAACATTATAGATGTTTTTCTTTAGTTGATAATGAGCTCCTTCCCTTTAAAAAAACACAGAGTTTTAGAATCTTTCAACAAGGGCTACATGACTGCTGTATTCTGAGATCTGATACATGCGGCATGTATTACCTGGTATTATTTCTAAATGCTTCTTAAACCTCCAAGAAAGAGAATTTAAGAAATATAAGCAGACTTTGCTTCCTCATCCAGGCTATCACATACAGAGACTTGATGGATATTCAGCATTAACAAATGCCCCCAAATTTAATTCTACATATTAATTTTCACACTGATTCCTTACTAATTATCTAAACTAATAGGAAATTTAATACATTTTCCTTTTCTTGTTTATGATCAGATAAGTGGAACAGCAAGATGATCGAAGGTAGATAACAGAAAAGAATGGCAGAAACATCAGTGGGCTCTCAGCCGCTGGAATACGCAGGGACCGACCATAGGCACTGGCGATTCCCCTAAGCCCTCGGAGATGCTTCCTTTTTTGAAACATCTTTTACCCTCATCACCTTCATGTTGTCCCTTTGTTGAGGGGAGAGACGTGTGACATGAAAATAAAGTCAAATAGTAAATTTGGGGACAAGCCAACTAATCAAGTTAGAAAGTTTTATGGATATTGAAACAACCTCTTTATTTTTAGAGCCAAACCCATAAAACATCAAGTGGGTTCACGACTCCTCTTTAAATGTTCCTTCTAAGTGTTTTCTTCTGTGTGTTTCAGATACCTTATGAAAGCACCTGTAGTAAATGACCACCTACCAAGCCATATACTTTATGGAGCAATCAAGGTAAAATCAAAAGTGAAAGAGCTCACAGAAACGTCTGCCATCTTCGAGGATGGGACAGTGGAAGAGGACATTGATGTCATTGTCTTTGCAACAGGATATACAATCTCTTTTCCCTTCCTTGAAGATTCACTTGTTAAAGTAGAGAATAATATGGTCTCACTGTATAAGTACATGTTCCCTCCTCACTTGGAGAAGTCAACCCTTGCCTGCATAGGTCTCATCGAGCCCCTGGGTTGCATTTTCCCAACTTCTGAACTTCAAGCTCGTTGGGCAACTAGAGTTTTCAAAGGTAAGTGAGTGGCTGAGGGTTTCACACCTGGTGGAGCTGACTCAACAATGACTTTAGACAAGAAGGTTGCCAATCCTGGCTGCTCTCCTAAAAAGTTGGTGGAGAAGTCGCAAAGTAACAAAGATGCAATAATAACAAATACCTTTAATCGCCCTTTAAAATATTAGAAAGCCATGAATTTTGATTGGCATAAACTGAAGAGCACATTATCCTTTATTTGAATCCTGAAAGAACCACTAAGCAGGCAACCACCTATGACCCCTGGTTTCACCTATATGATGTTTATGAATTCCTCAAAATAAGTGAAAATCAATAGATACAGGGCCTACTCCACACTTCATTCCCAATTAACTCTTGAAATCTAAGCAGTTGAATCTCACAGATCCCTACAAAGTTCCAAAAGTATTGAAAAGTTTCCTTCTGACCATCTGTGTACCACTTTCTATACCTCAGAAGGCTATTATCATCTCCTGACCCCAGGGTCAATTCAGCTCAACCAAAAACAATGAATTGAATACTTAGCCTTGTGATGGATCCTGGTAGAACAGACAGAAATTTAAACAGATCATTAAGACATAATGAGACAGACACTTTGGTGGAGGGAAGCATGGAGTGAGTGGGAAGAAGAGAAAGGGTGCTCAGCAACAGCAGGGTGGCATAAGGGGAGGGCATGTGGCCAAGGAAAACTTCCCAGAGGACTGGGCCTCCCAAGCACATAAAAGTGAGTCGCTGGAGCCTGAACACAGGGGTATGAAGCCTATGGAGAATTACAAGCTGTCTGACATTCCTAGAACATAGCATGTGAGGCAGAGAGGAGTGAGAGACTGTTCTTAGAGAACAAGAGGCCAGGACACAGGGACCATGTAAGGCATGCCAAGGAGCTTGGATAGAAAATGCAGACTGTCTCTTCCCAAATCCAGCCACACATAAAAATCACCTGGTGGGCTCAGGACCCTGATGAGGTCCGGTCTGAGGTCCTAGGATCTCCCTTTTAGAATGTTCTTCACCGGTGGAAGGGGGTGGGGGTAAATGCAGACAACAGTAACTGAACAACAATAAAATAATTTGTTTTGTTTTGTTTTAAGAAAACTCTTCAGCCAGGGGAACGAGTGAAAGGTTATAAGCAAGGAACTGACATCAGATTGACAATTTTTAACACATTATTTCAACATTCGTGGGGGAGATACCGTATTTTGCTGTGTATAACATGCACTTTTTTGCCCAAATTTTTTAGGGAAAAATAAGGATGCACATTATACATGAGTATAATGATTACTTACCACGGGCATAATGATCCAATGTATAATGTGTACAAAAATGTAGGTGCACACTATACATGGCAAAAGGTATGTATGTAGACTGCCAAAGAGAAAATAATGGCATCTCAGAGACACGTGAGAAGGCAACTGCAGCAGTCTACAGTAAATGTGCTGCAACCTGAGCCAGGTGGACAGGGTGGAGGAGAGCATACGAATGTGAGAAATCAGCAGGGCACAATGACTGGCTCAATGTGGGGAGATTAGGGGGGAATCGAGCATGGTGACCTGCCAATCTCTGGCCACAGAAACTGGGTGTGGGCAGCACTTTCATGAATGGAGAGTGGGTGCGTGGGGGAACGGACGGGGAAGCTTCAGGGAGGAGCTCAGTTTTGGACTTGTTGAATCTGAGATGTCAGATGACTAGCCACATCCAGTGGAAACGTGTCTGAAGCTCAAGGGACAAGGTGGATGGACGGAATCATAGCTCACACAGATAACACTGGTGCCCATCTATTTCTCCAACCCTACTGCCCTACCTTAGCCTTACACCCCTCTGTCTCTCACCAAGTTTACTTCAGCAGCCTCTTTTCTTAAGATTTTATTTATTTATTCTTAGAAAGGGGAAGGGAAGGAGAAAGAGGAGAAAAACATCAATGTGTGGTTGCCTCTCGAGCGCCCCCTGCTGGGGACCTGGCCCCTCAATGCAGGCTTGTGCCCTGACTGGTAATCCAACTGGGGACCCTTTGGTTTCCAGGCTGATGCTCTATCCACTGAGCCACACCAGCCAGGGCTGCTTCAGCAGCCTCTCAACTGGTCTTGCTGTCTTTACGCTCACCTCCCTAGAGCACATTTTTCTAAGGCAATTCTGATCTTGTCATCTCCTGCTGAAAACCTTCCATGGCTTCCCATCATCTTCACAACACAGCTCAAGCTACGGGCATAGTTCCAACTCCTCAGGCTCATGTTCTCTCTCCAGCCTCAATCTCCCCTCCCCACCTCCAAATTCACACTGTAGCCTGTGGCCAAAGGGTAGCTCCTCATAGGACCCGATGGGTAAGGTGCACCATGGAATTCAACAGCAACAGCCCTGACTGGTATAACACGGTTAATGGCCAGAGTCTAATTGTAGAAACCAGCCACTGGATAAAGTGATGATATCGAATCAAACCCACTACTCAAACCAGCCTTTTATATTCTAGGCTTGTGTACCTTGCCCTCAGAGAAGACTATGATGGAAGACACTATCAAGAGGAACAAACAAAGAATTGACCTGTAAGAATGTTTTCTTAATCTTTACCTAGAGCAGTGTTTCTCAAAGTATAGCGCTCTACCCACCTGTAAGAACTACCTAGCTGCTCATTAAAAAATGCACATTCCAAGGGCACAGGTCACACCAACTGAATCGAAATCTCTGGATGAGACTGGACATTTGTATTTTTATATCCTTCCTAGGTGATTCTTATACATAGTAGTTTAACAACCAACTACTGAAAGATAGAAATTTTACCAAACCAGGACATTTTTCCCTTGACTTAATTTCATTTCTGTTTTATATGATGCCCATGTTAAATTCCCTGTTTTCTCAGGCCACCCACACTCTGTGGTTAGATAGGGAATGGAATAGCAGTAATGGCGGTGACAGTAGCCTGACTATCTCTGGAAAGTTAGCCGAGGGACCTCCTATCCAAGTAAATCAGAAATAGTATTTATGACATAAAGGTCGATGATTTCTGCTTTGTGACTGAAGTAGAATGCAGTTCAATCAAGATTGAGTGCCAAGGGCTTGCCTCCTTGAAAACCACATCAAAACAACAACTAAAATGTATAACCACCACTACTCAGAACTGACAGAAATTGAGCTGAATGGAAGTCCTACAACCACAGAATTAAAGAAATAACCACACTGAGATTGGTAGGAGGGGTGGAGATGCAGAATGGGCTGGTCCCACACCAAAGTGTGGTGGATAAAATTTGGGAGGGATAACTTTGGAGTGAGGGGTCCCAGCCCCACACCAGGACCACCAGCCCAGGGATCCAGTGCCAGGAATAATAGTCCCCATACCTCCTGGCTGTAAAAGCCAGTGGGGATCGAGGTTGTGAAATACAGAAATTGCTGAAGTCCTAGGCAGTTCCTCTTAAAGATCCCACACGTGGACTTACCCAAACTCTGTCTTTCTGAGCTCCAGCATGGGGCAGCAGCTTGAAAGACACCAGAGACATAAAGGGGAAGGAAATGAATTGTGTGACATCAGGGCAAGAGCTGGGAGGCATCTTTCTCCCAGGCAGAAGTACTGGCAAAGGCCATTGTTCCTTTTCTGAGCACCCCCCACACACACACACAATGCCAGCAGGTGGGCAGCATGGCTTGACACTCCATCAAACTGACTCACACGGATTGCCCACCCTAATGATTTCCTGAAGCTCCATCCCACCCAAATTTTAGGCCCACCCAAGCTGTTTCCAAGGACTTTTCCATACAAATGACTTCTCTTGGCTCATGCTTCATATTTTCCTAAATTCTCTCAGACAAGCAGCCCTTGGCCTCAACAAGCCCCATGCCTCTCAAAAAGTGGTCCCAGACCCAGAATTAGCAGCAGCCAGCCTTGGTTCACAGCTTGCCTCACTTGTGTATACCCAAGCCTAGCACAAGGAAGTCATCTGCAGACTGCTCTGTAGCTTATTCCAGGTGGCTCTAGACAGAAAACACACAGCAGCTGACTATGGATGGCCTGCACATCCCAGGAACAAGCACAGAGAGGCTGCCAAAATGAGGAGACAAAGAAACATGGCCCAAATGAAAGAAGAGATCAAAACTCCAGAAAAGGAACTACACAAAATGGAGACAAGCAATCTACTAGAGGCAGGGTTCAAAACACTGGTTATAAGGATGCTCAGTGAACTTAGGGGAAGGGTAGATGAACTCAGAGAGAACTTCAATTGAATAAAAAAGGACATGGAAACCATAAAAAAGACTCAGTCAGAAATGAAGGATACACTAAATGAAATTAAGAACAATTTACAAGGAATCAACAATAGAGTGGATAAAGCTGAGAATCAGATCAGCGATTTGGAACATAAGGAAGCAAAAATCACCCAGTCAGGACAGAACAACAAGAAGAAAAATGATTCCCAAAATGAAGAGAGTGTAAGAAGCCTCTGGGACTTCAAGAGCAAAAACATTCACATCATGGGGATGCTAAAAGAAGAGAGAGAGCAAGAAACTGAAAACCTACTTGAAAAAATAATGACAGAAAACTTCCTGAACTTGGTGAAGGAAACAGACATACAAGCCCAGGAAGCACAGAGACCCCCAAACAAGGTGAACTCAAAGAGGGCCATACCAAGACACATAATAATTTAAATGTCCAAGGTTAAATTAGAGAGTATCTTAAAAGCAGCAAGAGAAAAGCAGTTAGTTACCTACAAGAGAGCTCCCATAAGACTATCAGCTGATTTCCTAAAAGAAACTTTGCAGAACACAAGGGACTGGCAAGAAATATTCAGAGTGATGAAAAGCAACCTTACTCTACCACCTAGCAAAGCTATCATTTGGAATTGAAGGACAGATAAAGAGTTTCCCAGACAAGAAGCAATCTAAAGGAGTTTATCACCACCAAACCAGTATTATATGAAATGTCGAAGGGTCTTCTTTAAGAAGATGGTCAAAAATATAAACAATAAAATGGCAATAAATACATATCTATCAATTGAATATAAAAATGAAATAAACAAGCAGAACAAAAACAGAATCACAGATATAGAAAACATTTTGATGGTTGCCAGATGGGAGTGGGGTAATGGGGACAGATGAAAAAGGTGAAGGGATTAAGTACAAATTGGTAGTTACAGAATAGTCACAGGGATGTAAAGCACAGCATAGGGAATACAATAGCAAAACAATATATATGCATGACCCATGGACATGGACAATGTGGGGATTAACTAAAGGAGTGACAGGTCTGGGTGGTGGGGGAAAAGGGGAAATTATTGGGACAACTATAATAGCATAATCAATACAATATAATTTATATAGAAATATAAAAAAATTGGAATCACATCCTATTGGAAAGTTGACTTAGAGACTTCATCCCATGAAGGGGTTAGCTCATGTTCAAATTCTCACTCTTCTGACATTTACTGAGTACCACATGCCAGCCAAAGTATCAGGCACTTTGGTAATTTAACAAGCAAATTTTAAGTGTCTCCTCTGGGCAAGACACTGGGTAGGCTTCTATCTGTCTTCTCTCATGAATCTTGGCAGCAATCCTGACTGGCTGGCACTTTGCTTTACCAAGCCGATAATGACTGTGGTTGCAAATGTTGTCATGTTCCTAGATCTCCCATGTATTCATGGCTATTTATTTGACAGCCTACCATCAATCTGAAATACAGAACTCCTAATGGGGTGAGCCAGCATTTTCCAGAGGAGAGTCACTAAAATTCATTGATTTGTTTGCTCATTACTTCACTCTTTCAATAGCTATTGAATGCCTAATGTTCTTACATAATTTAGAACACCTTGTGAATCTGCCCTTCTCATTTTCTTCACCAAGGTTTGGAAAGGGCAAGAGCCAGATTTTGCAGACCAAGTACATCGACTATTTGGATGAGCTCGCCGCAGAGATAGGTGCCAAGCCAGACCTCCTCTCTCTCCTGTTCAGAGATCCTGAACTGGCTGTCAGACTCTATTTTGGACCCTGCAGCTCCTACCAGTATCGCCTGGTGGGGCCTGGGCGATGGAAAGAAGCCAGGGGTGCCATCCTCTCCCAGAATCGAAGGGTACTGAAGCCTTTAAAGACGCGTGCTCTGGAGCCGACATCTCAGTTCCCAGTTTCCTTCCTGTTGCTAATCTTGGGGCTTCTAGCTGTGGCTTTGGCCTTTTTGTTCTAACGTCAGTGGTACTAATCTGTCAGCTTTTGGCTTTATCATCAGTCAATACCTCTTAAAGAAAAAAAATAAAAAATAAAAATATTAAATCTATAGTCTAAGTTTTAGAGTTGAGAGGAAAAGAGGAAGAGAGGTGATTGTGGAGAATTAGCAGAATTAGGCCTATGTATAAAACCAAAACAATGTCATAAAATGTCTTTGCCATTTCACTCTTCCCTCAAGTTCACTAGACTCTCCAAAAAGGACAAAATACCATGTCTAAATAGTGTCACCAGCCCTGACATAGGCAAGCTGTGTGGAAAACAGCAGAATTCCACAGAACAGCAGGCTCTACAGTTTAGATCAATGGAAACTTTAAGTTATGGGTAAATATTTAAACTCCTGTGCAATATTCTGAACTGTCTATCCAACCCTGTTTGGTGACAAAGTTCTCAGATATTAGGTCATGCTCCATTTGCTTAGCAGGGAATCACTCAAAAATACTGGAAAAAGAAAATGAAAGTAGACTTTAAAACTATGGCAATACTCAGACTTTTAGGGCCTCATACTGAAAGCTAAGTATTGCTGGGGTTGTTTTTTTTGTTTGTTTTCTCACATTTCTTATCTTTTTCTCATACGCTGACAGAAACACTGCTGTAAAACAAAAATATGCATTCCACAATGGCTGTCTACCACGTATTTAGTCCTTATCTAGACCAGACACTGTGCTCTGTGCACATCATGTGCACTATTTCATTTCATTCTCACAACAGTTCTGGGAGATGGGTGCAGCTATTGTACCCATTTAGCAGAAAAGAAACTGAGACTTGGAGCAATTGGGTGACATGCACAAGACCATACAGCTGGTCTTATGATGGAGCTGGGACCAGAACTCAGATGCGCCTGACTCTGGAGCTAAAGATCATAACCGTGCCCCACAATATACTCAGTTGCAAAAATCACTAGTAGTGATAAAATACTGAGCAGTTTGCTTTATTTATAATCAGATAAATGTTACTTTAGGAGGATAGCACTCCTTGCAAATGTGATTGGGTTAACTGTATTTATAGTATTTGGTTTACAATTCAGCTAGGCCTAAGGAGCACTTGAAAGTATTCACCATGAAAGACATCTGTATGTAACATTTAAGATAGTCATTGACACTTTGGAAAAACAAGCACCGAGGAGGAAGAGTATATTTCCTAAGTAGAGGAAAAGCATTATGCTGATTGAGCCTTGTATTTAGTTCTACCTTCACAGACAACCAAGGCAAAAAGCTAACCCATATGAATATTTGTCATCTGATAAAAAGAAGCAAACCAGTTAGGACACCCTAACATTTTCTTGAAACTGAAGTCCAAAAAGGGCACAAGAAATTCAATGAGCAACATGATAAACATCTGGTTATGAAACATGCACCAAGCTTTGGGAGGTAAACTACTGTAAGCCTTTCAAAGAGATGGAAAAGGTTAGAGCTTAAAAGATTTGGGCAAATTCCTGCTCATGCTCCTGCAGAGCCTCTGCTGACATTTTTCTTCATTTTGGCCCTCGTTTCTCCCTCAAAAGCCTGGACCAATGGGATGGCAACCTCTGTCTATGGAAACTTTTTCCTTTAGGTACACTGAAATGACATTAGCATTTAAATGCAAGATTTTTTTCATTGCTCCTGTCAGCAGAGGCCTTTAGGAAAAAATTGCAGATGGTATATATACTTAGTTCTTGATTAAAAACTGATCACATTGCTAATTCTTAAATATTATTTGCAAGCCATTATATTAATAATAATGCAACCAAATGCAAGTCTGGTCGCCTGCTGCTTGGAAAGCTAATACTTGAGAGGCAGGTGCTGATGTAAAGAAAAGTGGTTTTATCCAGGTGCCGGCCACCTGGAAGACAGGGGACTCTCGTCTCAGAGCCCATCTCAGCATCTCAGGTGCCCTAGCTAGTTTACATACGAGGACCGTGGGAAAAGGGGAACTAAGGAATTTCTGGTGACGTGCGGTTTCTCAGCTACAGGGGACCATTCCTCATGGTGTGGGAAATGTAGCCCAGCCCCGACTTGGAAAGGCCAGTGGGGAGCGAGGTCTGGCACACAGGACCCACGCCCACAGACAGGTCCTCCTGTGGGGAATCAGGCCTGCATTGTACCTAGGCTGCTGTGAGACTTGTTTTTGCTAAAACCTCCTCACCCTGGATTGAGGCAGCAAATGTTTACTGCATATCTCTAAAGTAACTTCCTAAAATCTGTGCTAAACCTCCCAAGTATGGAGTGTAACCAGTTGAACCACGTTTCCCCTTGATCTGTAACAGCTTTTCTCTGAATTAGCAACATTCTTTCCTTTGTTATCTTTAGTAAAAGGTAATCACCTACAGCGAACCTGTGCATAGTAAATGAGGACCATCTTCAATGTAATGTGCCCAGAAAAGCAATAAAAGCCTGTCCAGGCAGGGGCCAGGGCCCTCTCTCTCTCAGAGAGCAGCCCTGCTGTCCCCTTTTCTCCACAGGACTGCCCTAGTCCATGTGACTTTGTTCACTGCAGCCACAACACATGGACCCTGCAGGCTGGGGTCCACATCACTCAGCTCTGCTCTTGGGTGTTTCGGTGTCACCGCCTACTTGTCATCATGCAGTTTCATTGCTCTCTCTGGGGTTTCACTGCTGACACCTGGGAACAGGATGTGCAGGCAGTGTTTCTGCGGGTCCCGATGTGAGTCGCTGCTGCCTGCCCCATTTCTGGTGGTCAGAGCCACTCCTTGGTCAAGTAGGCTGTCTATAAAATACTTCTAAGGAAACTTCCCATACATGAACCTTCTATGAGTTGGTTGGTACCATGCCATGGTAAGTCAGAGTAGTATAGTGTTTATCCTCTGTTACAATTATAATAGGATTTATCAAGCCTTTTTAACAGCTGTAGCAATTCAGCCTACTCCTAATTTCTATAAATAAAGTTTAATTGGAGTATAGCCACATCTTTTCACTTATTGTCCATGTCTGCTTTCAAGCTACAATGGCAGAGTTGAGTAGCAACAACAGAAAGTATGGCCCACAAAGCCTAAATATTTACTATCTGGCCCTTTGCGAGAAAAAGTTTGCCAATTCCTGCGTTGTGTTGTGCCAACCATTGTCCTAATTGTTTGTCATAGCCTCATTCATAACTACCCTATAACTATAGTTACCATCCTACTTCTAGTGGAGAGACTGAGAAACAATTGTCAGATTAATGCTGAATCCGTGGGGGAGAACAGTTCCCTGAGGAAAAGCTTATTATTCAATTTATATCCTTAAAACTTTTAGAAAGGAGATGATCTCTTGAAATCTTTCCAAGTATTCTGGTACCTTTTAAAAAAAACACAAAGAGTTCATTTCTAGAGTCTGAGATTGACTGAGAAGGACCATCCAAGTCATTCTTCTGCCTCCATACATCCTGAAACATGAAACTCCCAAACCAACCATGTGGGATAGTTTGTTCCACACAATGATCCACATGCTACCTGCGTCAGAACACCTCAGGGAGCGTAGAGAAGGGCAGATTCCTGACCCTAGCTGTGACAGTAATTCAGACCTGCTGAACTGGAGTCTGATGGAATCTCCAGTCTTGATGAGCTCCCTAGAACATCCTCGGGCATTAAATTTAGGAGCCATTCATTTGAGGCCTCTACAAAAATCTGCTTTCAGAGACTGGCCCCTGACTTTTCCACATGTCAGGGCCACATTTCTCCCTAGGTTCACCCCTGGTGCCTCTTGCTATAGTTTACAATGTTAGCTAGTTAACAGCCTCCTCCAAAATGCCTCCCTGTGATAGTCCCCTTACTAACTTTTCATTTCAATTCTCCTTCTCCATATGGTAGCTCCTTGATTTTCCTACCGAAAGCCAAATATATCACATTTGCTCTTTACAGAAAAATATTTTTTTAAATAAAACCCTTAGATCATGATATGTAACAAAATTGCAAATAATAAAGATTTAACATACTTAACCCAGAAAGAATCCAGCATTCACATTATAATGAGGGTGGCAAAGGTAGATTCTTCCTGATAACTGGTCTTGCATCCTGGAAGCCGCTGTTACTGACCTGCAAGCCCACCCCCACCCCACGCCCCAATCCTGTGCAGAACTTCTGGTTGTTCCCTGGGAGGCGGGATGTTTACATAAAACGTAACCCACTTTGTTGTCTAGTCTGCCTTATGGGCAGATCCTGAATTCATGAGGCTTTAAAAAAGAAAGGCTCCTGATATTAGATTCCACTTAGTCCAAGTCAGATGCCAAAATGAGATGAAACATGCAAGGGGTTTTTTTGTGTTTTGTTTTGTTTTGTTTTCAGGAAAATGCCTGTATGAGGAAAAATAGAGACAGCATGGGTGAAAGCTGAAGGGTCATCAGACAGCAATGCACGTCTGACCCTGAGTGAAGGAGAGAGGGGAGAAGCACTGGGTAGAAACGCCCTAGATGAGGCTGTGCAGTCTGAGGAAGGTGTAGCAGAGCCCTGGGCAGTCCCTCATGCCCTCAGAGAACTCCTGACTCTCCCAAAAATGATCTGCTTCAGTCTCTGCCATATCCATCACTGCTGGAAGCGGCTCATAGGAAAAGGGGCCACAGCAACATACTTAAGTGCAGCAACTCAAGCTATGGCCAAGAACGCATCCTGCCATCAGAGATCCATGAAGCACATTCTCATGGCTCCCACAGGTTTATGACATCATCTTTGTATTTTTCAACACACTGAATTACAGTTTTCAAATTAACTTACCTAGTGAGTCACCTGTTGTAGCTGTCATTCACAGCCAACTCTAAGATCCTTCTCCCTGCAAAACAGAAATTAATCCAGGGAGTCACAGTGGCATCTGCAGTGCTCATCAGTTTCACTCTTTAAAGGGGAGAGAATAAAAGTCTAAAGTGCATGTCATAGTTCAGTGTTCCTCTTAGCATTTCACTGTTGCCACTCACCAAAAGTACAAACAATGGCTAACCTAAGATTCCAATGTCTGTAGGACATTCCTTAGCACTTAAATGGAGTGTATCAGGTGTGGTGGGGACTCCCAGGACACCACTGGCTCACACTGGACTGTTCTGATTTCTGCTAGTTCCAGAGGCCTAACTGTGGCCAGGCCCTTGGCCCCAAGAATTACGAGTACCTCTGGTCCCTTTAGATTAAGGAGATGGTGCCAGGATTTCTTTCCGTTTTGCTACTGTGGTTCAGGACACAATCACTTCACCAGCAGCTCCCTCCGGCTATGAATTTGGAGGAGCGAGGAAGCTGCACTCCCCACCCCAAAGTACAGAGAGAGCGGTAAATGTTTTGAGTATGTGGAAGGGATCCATATGGTCAGATGTTACCAAGTCCTCTGTGTTCAGTGGTAAGCACACTGCTGGGTGGATTATTAAGTGGTTAATCAAAAGAAAACACTTGGATTCCTAATGCAAGTGGAAAGAGTAATTTTTCTTAAGTGCTTCTGTTAATGGCTTCGAACAAGGGGTCAGCCAATCACCTGGGGGTTTGGTACCAAATGCTGGCATTTGGTACAAATTGGGAGAGGCAGATCCCCCACTTTGGAATCTGACTCATTTGTGTTGGTATGTTGTCCTTTTCCTGTTGCCAAAAGTCGTCTCTTCTATACACTATGCATCAAGACAAAATTTTATTTTCATATTACCACCAGATCTTTTTTTGCTCATCCCACTTTCCCCTGAATTCACAAGATTAAAAATTCCAAAGGTTTTGAAAATCTGCAGATCTCCAGTTTAATGCCATGATTTAATAGATGGAGAAACTAAGCCTCAATCTTTTGTTATTTCTTCATTTCCCCTCCAGCCTAGGGAAACCTCTATAGCCTTGTACCTGGCAC